GTCCCAGGCAGCACACTGCAAGGGGCAGGGCTTTCACTGGAACAGCGTGGAACCTCCGCCATCCCTTCCCACCAGCTGGGCTGATCTGCTTTTCTGCCTGCGGCCCAGCCACAACACACACTGATCAAACACTCGCCCCTGCAGGGCACATCCCTGAGCCCGGCGCCGGTGCCACAGGTCACAGCAGGCTCCTGCCCCGTGATTTGAATAGAAGATGAACCTGAGTTCCCAATTAAAGAACCAGTGTTACTCTCTTTCAGAGCAAACTAACCCTTCTAAAGCCCTTAACTAAGAACAAAAAACAACAGAATGACAACAAATCCTTTTTTTTTTTTTTCTTTTTGTCTTTTTTCGTGACCGGCAACGGGATCGCAACCCTCGGTGTCACACCCGCACCGTGCTCAACCAGTGAGCGGACCGGTCTCTATATGGGATCCAAACCCTCGGCGGGAGCACCACCGCGCTCCCAAGCGCCGCACTATACCAAGTGCGCCACGGGGCCGGCCCGACAACAAATCTTTTTATTGTCAAATAAAACACAGATGTAGAAACACACAAGTCGAACAGACAACTCCATGAGCTAGAACCACCACGTTCCGCACCACACACCACATGCTTCGCTCCAGAAGAAGCCACTGTCCTGGCTACAACAGTGTCACTTCCTTGCTTTTTAAAACTGTTTTATCACCCAAATGTGCATCTTGAAACACCTTAATTATTCTATTTTCTTCTGGCATAAAGCTCAGTCCTCAGCCTGATCTCCCTCCCTAAATGCCCCAAGGATTTTTTTTAAATCCAGCACTTTCACTATTTCTTGCTGTGGATCATTCTCAGGTATTCCTTCTTTCAATAGTATCCCGTTTGCTTTTCTCAGCTTATCTTCAACACTGTCACTTTCTATGGCTTTCCATGTTCGTCTTTTTGACTTACAAAACCATCCTTTTTTTCACTTGGCTCTGCCTGTTGTACTTTTCACACTGTATTCCTTCTATTAAAGTCTCAATTCCTGAAATGACTTTTTTCACTCATTTCTTTCGAGTTGTCACTTCATTTCTGAGTGTTTCTGATTTTTGCTTTTCATGTTTCACATCATCTTCACGTCTTTCAGTTCATTTTGTAAAATCGTTTCATTTATTTATTTTTAATTCTGATTTTAAAGTGTGGTTTTCCCGTTTTACAGGCATGCCTTTCTGGCTTGCTTTCATTGTTGGTAGGGATGTTATTCTGCTCCTTCTACTCAGCTTGGGATGGATTTGACTTTGATACTTTTCTGGTGCTCAATTTTATGTAAAAGTGTTTTTGTAAACTTTCAGAAATAAGTGAGCATCAGGAAAGCTTCTCCAGGGCTGGCCAGTTGGCTCACCCGAGAGAGTGCGGTGCTGGTAACGCTAAGGTCACTGGTTCAGAGCCCCATATTTGCCAGCAAACCCCCCCTCCACTCATCAAAAAAGAGCAAGTCTCTCCGGTTTTACAGAGCTCCCTCTGCTGCTGTTTTCGTAAAGTGTTGAAAACAACACGTCCATTAGCTTTCAGAGCTGTCCTAGCCAGTACCCGCCGCCGTGCAGGCCTTTGTCCCTATCCTCCTCGATTTGTATTCCACTCCAAGCAGTCTCTCCTCCGTGTGGGGTCCCTTCCTAGAAGGGAGCCCTGGCAGGTCAGTTTGGGGAGCTTAGCAGGGCTGGCTGCTCCTGCCGCTCGCTCTCCACGGTGGGCTGTGCGTGCACTGCTGGGAGCGAGTCCAGACCCACCTGTGTCACCAGCTGGGCTCACACAAGGATGCAGCGGGCCTCGGGAGGCTCTCCCGCTCTTCAGCCCATCAGATACCCCGGCGTTTAACATCTGCTTTCTGCCCCCCACACGCTGATAACCTGCGGGTCTTACGACTACTGGTGGTTTGTCCCCAATGCGCCTCTACTTTGGTGTTCATGAGGATACATTACCACCTGGTTTTAATGGTAATGACGTCCATAGGGGGTTTTTTATTATTATGGTGAAACAAATGTAACACTTTGCCATTTTAACCATTTTGAAGCGTAAAATTAAGTTGTTTGCAAGTTTCAGGTTTTGCAATCTAGTTTTTTTTTTTTTTTTTTTTTTTTTAAATACTGGTAAGGGGGGCCGGCCTGGTGGCGCACTGCTACAGTGCGCCGCTTGGGAGTGTGGCGGCGCTCCCGCTGAGGGTTCGGATCCCACATACAGACTGGCGGCCGCTCACTGGCTGAGCGATCCGTTGCCAGTCAAGAAAAAAGACACACACAAAAAAATACTGGTAAGGGGATCTTAACCCTAGTTTTTTTTTTTGTCTTTTTTCGTGACCGGTAAGGGGATTGCAACCCTTGGTGACACCCGCACCGCACTCAGCCAGTGAGCGCCCCGGCCATCCCTATATAGGATCCAAACCCGCGGTGGGAGCCCAGCACCACACTCTCCCGAGTGTGCCACGGGGTCGGCCCAACCCTAGTTGTTTTTATGTGGTGACACCACTACTATCCTCCCAGAATCCCCTGCTTTCAAAGCCCTAACTTTTCAAGCAAAACAGATTCCAACTGGTTTGTTTCATGACAACGTTAATGAGAACACCTCCATCAACCCTCAAAAACTGGAAGGCATCCTAGGTTTAGGCTCTATCAAAGTTCTATCGAGATCTGGTATTAAAGGAAACACATTTAGGGATAACACATACAATTATTTATTTTTTATTTTTTATTTTTGTCTTTTGTCTTTTTCCGTGTCCGGCAATGGATCGCAACCCTCAGTGTTGCCCCCACACTGGACCGGGGACCGGCAACGGGATTGCAACCCTCGGTGTTGCCCCCGCGCCTCGCTCAGCCAGTGAGCGGGAACCGGTCTGTATGTGGGATCCAAACCCTCAGGCGGGAGCGCCGCCGCGCTTCCCAAGCGGCGCACTTATCCAGTGCGCCACCGGGCCGGCCCAACACATACAATTATTAACGGTTTGGTAGTCCAATATAAAAGCAGGATAACTGTTGCTTAGGACACTCCATTTTAGTGTGGCACCTTTTTTTTTTTTTCCTTTTTGTCTTTTTTACTGACCGGTAACGGGATCACAACCCTCGGTAAATGAAATGAGCCAGCCACAGAAAGACAAATATCAT